TCAGAATCACTGTAAAAATCCAGTATTAATCTGATATAAAAACCAGACAAAGACACACATAAAAATTATAGATCAATCTCCCTGATGAACCTGAATACAAAAATTCTTAGTGAAAGACTTGTAAACTGAATTCAACCTCATATAAAAGAAATCATCCATCATGATCAAGTTGGCTTCATTCCAGATATGTAAGGGTGGATCAGCACAAGTGAATTAATAAATGAAACACATAAACAGATTCAGGGGCAGAAATCAATGGCAATGTCAATAATTGTAGAAAAGGTTTCTGACAAAGCCCACCATCCCTTCAATTGAAGATAAAAATTCTGAGGAAATTAGGACTAGAAGAAACATCAACAAAATAGCTAACATTATACTGAAATTCAAAGCATTTCTCATAAACAAGGATGGCAACTTTCTCCATGCTTACTCAACATAGTGCTTGAAGTCTTAGCTAGAGCAATCAAAGAAAGAAACCAATGGGATATAATAGTGAAATTATCCCTATTTACAGACAATATGATCCAATGTGTAAGAGACCATCAGAAACCCTTTAGAACTGATATATGCTATTAGCAAATAACAGCAACAGAGATGTAAGTAGAAATACCAGTTGCCCTCATGTAGACCTGTAGTGAACATGCCAAGAAAGGGACCAGGAAAACACTCATGCACAAAAGCCAAAAAAAAAAAAAAAAAAAAAAAAGGAAAGTCTCTGTTAAAATACGGAAACACCAAAGAATCTGAAGAGACCCTAGAAGATGGAAAGAGCTCCCGCACTCAGGGATATTCTTATGGAAAGAAATGAAATGGAAAAAAAGTGGAGGGGGGACTTGAAAATTATAAGTATAGGAAGGTCTTACTGGAATGGACTTAACAAGAAAGTAATCTGAAGAACTGATGAATGGGATTATGTGAATTTAAAAAGCTTCTTTGCAATAAAGGAAACATTAGCAGCACAGTGAAGGGACAGCTTGCTGAATGGGAGAGAAAGCTTTGCTAGTATATATCTGGTAGAGAATGAATATCTAGAATACAGAGCTCAAGCGACAGACACCCAAGCAATCCAACCAGTAAATGGGCTAATAAAATTATGAAGAGCAAATTGTCAATAAATATATGCAAATGTGCTCAACATTCTCAACCATCAGAGAAATGCAAATTAAATAAACATCGAGATTCCATCTAATTGCAGTCAGAATGGCAATCATTGGGAGGCAGCTCAATCAGTAAAGTGCTTGCCATGAAAGCATGAGGACCTGAGTTTGTTTCTATAGAACATACATACATACATACATACATACATACATACATGTGTGTGTGTGTGTGTGTGTGTGTGTATGTGTAGAGAAGCTTAGCCAGTAAGGGTGTTTGCCACAAAGCTTGACCATCTGAGTTTGATCTCCAGAACTCATCTAAATAAGAGTATCAATTCCTACAAGCTGTCCTCTGATGTCTACATGCATGATCCATGTACACACACACACACACACACACACACACCCTGGGTACAGCAGCGCTTACCTATAATCTGATGGGGAGGGTGTGGAAGCAGGAGGATCTTGGGGCTTGTTGGCTAGACAATCTAGCTGAGTCAATGATCTCCAAGGTGAGCCAGATACCTTGACTCAAATAATAATAATAATAATAATAATAATAATAATAATAATATGGAGATTGATTGAGGAAGCCACCCAATGTTGACCCATGACCTCCACAAGTAAATGCACAAACATGCACCTTCATAAACTCTCTCTCTCTCTCACACACACACACAAACACACACCAAATGCTTTTGAGGATGGAGAAGAAGAGATCTCATATTGGTGGTAGGTATGTAAATTAGTCCAAACACAATGGAAGACAGTATGGTGGTCTCCTTAAAAAACTAACACTAAGATTATCAATAGGTTCAATGGGTAAGGATCATTGCTGACAAATCCTGATGACTTGAGTTCAATCCCCAGAACCCTTAATGTAGAAGGAGGAAACCAATTCCTGTAAATTGCATAGATTGTCTTCTAACCTCCATGCAAGTGTCATGGCCCACAGACATCGATCTAAAATAAAATCAATGACCCAGCTGTACCAACCCTGGCTATATACCCGAAGGAACTTCAATCAGCACAACACAGACGTTATCAGAGGCACTTATACATCAGTGTTTATTGAAGCACTGTTCACAATAGCTAAGTTGTGGATCAGTTATATCTGTGTGTCAACAGATGAATGGGTGAAGAAAAATGTGACACATAATGCAAGTTTATTCAGATGTACAGGAGAAATTCGTGTTTACAGGAGAGTGGATGGGCTTTTGATTGCGTTAAGAAAAATAAATCAGACTCAGAAAGACAAATAATGCATGCTTTCTTGTTTGTTGTTCCTAGGTTAATATTTTGCTGATTACACACCCCCACCATTTTAATCTCAACAGTAGGGATAGCAATAGCACCTGCAATGCCTTGAAGAAATCCTTTGAAATGTTTTATTTTATTTAAAAATATTTATTTTATGTGTATAAGTGTTTTACCTGAATGTACATAGTATAATTTGGGCTTGCCTGATGCCTTTAGAGACCAGAAGGCACTGAATCCCCTGGAACTGGAGTTAAGGATGGTTGTGGGTGCTTGGAATTGAACCTGGGTCCTCTGGAAGAGCAGTGACTACTCTTTATCTCTGAGGCATCTCTCCAGTGCCCCTTAACATTTTATTTTTATGGTGTGTGTGTGTGTGTGTGTGTGTGTGTGTGTGTGTGTGTGTGTTGTGTTGTGGTCTATATGTGTGTGTGTGACTGTGTTGGCCTGTGGAGTTTGGAAGTCAACATCAGGTGCATTTCTTGATTTCCCTCCACTTTATTTATGAGAGTGTCTCTCAATGGTTGGTACAGAGTTTTCTGTTTCTGCTACAATGGTTAGCCTGTATACCTCAGAATCCTTTTTTCTCAACCCCATGTCCACAGCACTGGGATTTTTGGAGCCAGGCCTCTGCTTTTGTGTGTGTTCTGGGTATTTGAACTCTGGTCTTCATACTTGCTCTTTACCCTTTGTGGTGGTTTGAATAAGAATGACCCCCATGGGTTTCTATGCTTGAATGCTTAGTAGTAGCACTATTTGAAAGGATTAGAAGGTGTGGCCTTGTTGGAGGAAGTGTGTCACCGGGTATGGGATTTGGGGTTTCAAATGCTCAAGCCAGGCTCCTTCTCCAGCACTATGTCTGGCTGTGTGTCATTATGCCTCCCACCTTGTTGATCATGAACTAAACCCACTGAAACTGCAAGCAAGTCTCAACTAAATGCTTTCCTTTATAAGAGTTCCTGTGATCATGGTGTCTCCTCACAGCAACAGAAAACTAAGATATCTATTGACCTATTTTAATAGTCCTTGAATACATTCTTTTTCCCACAAATAAATTTTGTACACATTATAAATTCCACTATCTTCTTGACTTATCAGAATCCTTCAAGACCCTTGTTTCTTGGCTGTTTGGGGAGTAATATTTGACTATATCATTGGACTATTTAGCATATCCCACTGCTTTTGAATTCTACTGCCACCTACTGCTTATGTAGGGAAGTGCTCTTCACTGTTTACTCATGCTTTATTCCTAACTACTGAATTTTGGTTTTCTCAGGGCTTGAGAACTTTCTGCTCTTTGAGCTTCAAATCACAGTTGGTGTAACTTTCTAATACTTTCTGATATTTCATTATAACAATTCAGAAGATACTGGTTGTTCTATAGGGGACAGTTCATGACTTTACAGAACATGAAAGATTTTTTTTTTTAAACTTGATATAACACTTTCATAATTCATTTTCAAGAAAACCAGAATGGTCACAGAATGCTTTAAGAATTTCTAGCGTTTAACAATACACTAAATTGGACACTAAGTTTTTTCCTTGCACATCTTCCATTCAGAGAACCTTACCCTTCTAGGCTCTACTTTCATGTTTTCTCTTGCAAAACTTTCCATTATTTTCTAGAAGTAAATTCACCATCTCACAATTAGTAGTTATTATAATGAGTGACATAGGAAGGAAAATGAAAAAATAAAATCCAGTTCGAAAAATGGCTTTACGATACTTTCCTTAGCCTCCATTGCTGGCTCTTTTACTTTTGCAGACGAACTGGAATCTCCGGGATGGTTGACGAGGGGAAAGTTTTAGGGAAGAGCAAAAGCAGGAACACGCACTGTGCAATCTGGTCAGGTTCACTTTGTACACTCTGAAGTCAGCTAACTTGCTGTTCTTAGATACTGCATGGTGAGAATTTCTAAGGCTAATAAGGCAAAAGCAAGTCAGGACTCAAACGTAATTCTTATTCTGAAAGAAGAAAGACAGGAAGCAAGAAAGGGGGTTAATTACATGAGCAAATTTCTGTCATTGCATTGTTTGTGAGCAGTTCAGCTAGACTGCACTTAGCTGGGACGCTGCGAGGTGGTGACCAATACACCAAAGTCTTGCATTTCACAGAGAGGTCCACGCTTTGCACAGATGAAGTGATCAGTCTCTGAAGTCACTAGCATTTTGTCACAGGGCGAGGGTTAATTAGTTCCTTTCTGCATTCTCCTTTCAGGTACTTATACGCTTTTCTTATTTAACGTCATTGTGCTCTTAAAGTCTGTGGCTTAGATCCGTGTCCTTTCCAGACACCCCGAGGCTTCTTCTAGGTCACAATCATCTCTCGATCCTACACTTGACATCTCTTCGTAGACCAATCCATGAGAATACCCACCAGTTATAGAAAACGCCCAGAAGAGCCCTTGAGGGACACCACGCAAAACGAAGAGCGGCAGGTCAGCTACGTCTTCTCGTCTCGCCTTCTCTGACAAGGAATCTTTTGAGGATAAGGACTGTGGTGGGCAGAAGGTGAAAGTTTTTTCCCATGTAGGAACATAAAGTCATTGTCTCCGGCTGTGTTCCACCGGATCTAACAAAGGACCAACTTCCGGTCCGTTTCCCGTGTCTTCCGAGTCTTGAGTCTTCTACTTCTTCCCTGAGTTACAGCCGGGTGCGGGAGCCGGTAACTACTTCCGCCAGAAGTCCCTAGCGGCTCGGGTTCGGATGCCGCCCGACGTCGGGTCCTCCTCCTCCGCAGCCCTCCCATCAGAGGCCGGTGGCCGCGGCTATTACAGGGCCTGCCGCGAGGTCTTCTCTGCGGCCGAGTCCCGGCCAGTAGTGCGGGAGAGACGCCCGGGAGCGGCCAGGGCGGTGGGCACCCCCGCAGGCCTTGCCGCGCCCGCCCAACCGGGGCGGGGCCCGAGCTCTCGGCCCGCCCATTAGGGGCGCCTAATTCGGGGCCGCTAACAGCCTCTCACCTGCGGGAGTCATCGTCCCACAGGCTGCGGTCGCCTGGGGAACATGGAGTTCGCGGAGCTGATTAAGACCCCACGGGTGGACAACGTGGTGTTGCACCGGCCTTTCTACCCCGCCGTGGAAGGGACCTTGTGTCTGACGGGCCACCACCTGATCTTGTCCTCCCGGCAGGACAACACGGAGGAGCTCTGGCTCCTCCATTCAAATATCGACGCCATTGACAAACGGTGAGCGCCCACCACACCCAGGTCCCTGAGGAGCCGGAACGGACGCTTCCAGTGGTTTTCTGGCATCCTCGCCCAGCCAGCGAAATGAACTTTCTGTGGCCTAGACCTGAAAGTCATCTGCACTGGCTACCTGGCTTTTGCTAAACTCGAGCTAAGGTCTCAGGGGTATCATCGCAGGGGTCATTTTGAACACCATTTGGGCGTATTTTCAGTTAATTTTTTTTTCCTTTCATCACATTCCTTGAATGTTCCTTGCCATTTCTCGAATCATTATTGGTTGTCGATCGCACTTCACGAAGTTGCGATTGCATACAATTTAACTCAACACTCCCCCCTACCCCCAAAATAGATAAACTCACCCTTTGCAAATCTAGGCCTGGCTTGAGCTCCTGACTCTCCAGCCTTAGCCTCTCAAGTAAATGCTGAAATCTCTCTCTCTCTCTCTCTCTCTCTCTCTCTCTCTCTCTCTCTCTCTCTCTCTCTCTCTCTCTCTGTGTGTGTGTGTGTGTGTGCCACCACACCTTGCAGTAGTTGAGTACATTGTATTTCCCATTTTATTCTCTCAAATAATTTTTAAAGTTCGATAAAGTGGTGCCCACCTGGCCAAGGCAGGTGGATGACAAATGTGACACACACCTCACTCATGTACAGAAGACCCTCTCAACAAAGACAACAACATGTTTAGTTTATCATATCCCTTCTTATTTATTTTCTAGGCTGTTGTTTACTTGCTGCTAGGGTTACTCATCAGTCCTCAACATTATTCAGTATTTCTGAAAGTGTGTAATTCATCTTTATTTTCCCACCCCATACTTTATTTTTACTTATATGAATGTGTATCTATGTGTGGGCATGTACACATGAGTGCAGGGACTTCAAGAGGCTAGAAGAAGGTGTTGAGTCTCATGGAACTGGAGTTACGGGTAGTTGTGAGCCACCCCATGTGAGCTCTGCAGGCAGAGCTTGGATATGGAAGGACAGAAAGTGCTCTTCATTGCTGAGCTATCTCTCCAGCCTCCCATTCTATGCTCTTCATCTGTGCAAGGTGTCTCAGAGTCAAACATTCATTTATACTTTCATATGCACTTATATTTTCTGTCTTCTCAGTCTCCCTGTAAACCCTGTGTACTCTAGGCAGCAGAAAGCAAATTGATTACCCAGTTCACTATGAAGTATGTGAGTGACAGCATACTTTCGATTGCTTTACTGCATATTCAGATTTAAGATTTCAACAGAGATTGTGCCGTAATGCAATCTTATGGTAGCATTACTAGCATTTTGGGTGAAGCCATGTGTGGTAGGTTATCTTTCTCTACCAGCAGTGGGCTACTGGACTCCTCAGTTTATCTTTAGTGCATAAATGTATTCAATGATCTCTCATGCTGCATAATGAAGGCTAAATTCTGACACTCCTTGTTCTGGTTCTAACCTAGTATCCTCACTGGTTTTCTTACCATACACATGATTTGTAATTTCTTACAGATTTGTGGGTTCTCTGGGTACCATCATCATAAAATGTAAAGATTTCCGAATTATTCAGTTGGATATTCCTGGGATGGAGGAATGTTTAAATATAGCCAGTTCTATTGAGGTAAGTATTTTGCAGGCAAAAATCTGATGGGAAAAAGGCTGTATTCTGATTTCATGTAGCCCATTAATCAGGTATTTGATCATGACCCCATGACTGCTTATATAGGAAAAGTTCTATCTGCTCTGTTGTCATATGAGAATAATGGGACCTCTTATATTTACTGCAGTTTTAGTATTCCTTTACATGGAATTCTTAATTCCATCAATTGCTTAGAAGTTTGTGGAATTTCATAATAGAATTCTCATGAGTTCATATTGGCCAAATAATAGATGTTGTTTCATTTGAGTATGCATGAATCTTGTTTAGAAAAAAACCTCAAGGATCATGTTTACTGTGCAAATGTTGATACTTTCTGTGATGAAGACAGTTTGTGAACTGTTGTTCTATTTCAGTGGATTTCTTGAAGGAATAACCTGTATGAAGTTTTAAGCCAGTGAAACAGATACAGTTAGTTGGATTGTGGCCACAGTACAGTTAGCAGGTGTGATCTTCCTGAGTGTAGTATATCTTTAGAATAGATAGAACCCTTGAACTCTGAGCAGCACTCTTAATACTGTTACTGTTGAAATCATATGGTTCTTTGTTAGCTTATGGTGTGTTCTGTGGGTGAAGTACTTAACTTCTCACAATTAGTCTCTTATTATAAAATGAGATCATTACCTGTTTTTTAGGGCTGTTGTAAAATCACATTTGTGGGTATATAGAATTCTTAGTACAATACTTGGAAGATGGTAGCTGCCATTGGAAGAAGGCCCTTCTGTGAGAACAGTTTCATGCTGAGACTTTGTGGTAGAAATAGTCACATCACATAAAGTTCACTGTCTTAACCATTTCTCAGCTTACCATTCAGCTGTGTGTCAGGAGTATATTCACATATTTTGTGTAACAGACTAAAGCAAGTGACTGTCACCAATAGTTGTCTTCTGTGACTTATATCTGAAGGTAAGTATTTGTTTTTATCAGTTCACTTAAGCTGTGTTTGTTTATGCTTATGTAGAAATTTTGAACATTGGTTCTGGCCACACTTGAGAAACTTTGCTTGGATAGTTGGTTTCAATTGAAGGCTTCACATTCCTTTTTCACTTCTGACAATTTTGGTCTACACCCCAATTTTAAATTGCCTTATTTTAAATCACTACCATTAAATTATATCAGCTGACTCTGTGTATAATTTCTAGCTGATTATAGAGTTAAGCTGATTTTTTTCTTCTGTATAACTGACTTATTTGAGCTTTATGTTTTTTGTTCTGTTTTGTTTTTGTTTTTTAAGTGGGGCTAATTATTATAAAAGAGGGGGGAAAGCCTTAAATCTATGATTACAATTTTTTTTTTTTTTTTTTTTTTTTTTGGACAGGGTTTCTCTGTGTAACAGCCCTATCTGGCCTGGAACCTGCTCTGTAGATCAAACTCACAGAGATCCACCTGCCTCTGCATCCTTAGTGCTGGGATTAAAAGCCTTTACTAACACTACCTGGCTTTGTTTGGTTTTTTAACAAGAAGGAGTTTTGGTGATGTGTTGCTAAGGAAATGACACACAAACCTTTCTGCTTTTGCTAAATTCTACTTGAGGGAATGAGAGAGTGAATTAGTCTGTCACACATAGTTGTCACTTGGAAGTATGATCATGACTTGGCTGTACTTCCCAGTGTGAATAAGAAAACAAACTAAGATAATGTTTTACTATTTAGACAAAGGAATGTCTTATGCTTACTTTGGTTGGGTGTACCCAGTGTAGCAAAAGATAGGACAATGCCTAGCCAATTGGCAGATCCCTTTAGGAAGGAGGAAGTGGGCATGAATGCAGCTTATACATATGTATGTCTTGTAAGAATTCAGTTTTATTATGTGTTGCAATGTTGTTGGCCTATTAGATACTTTATCTCGATGAAGATTCCTAATAAGCCTGCAAAGTTTCCTCCATTGAACAAGGCATAGTGGGGGGCTATGTAACTTAACCTTTGTGTAGCTGGGATTTGGAGTTTGGGGCTTTTCCAATATTTGACAGCTGGCCAGAGCTGAGCATTCCTTTTTATAGTGACAAGCAGGCATAGATTGTGAATGACTTAAATTGTTTAGTTAGTTACTGAGTTTTTAGCTGAGTCTCCATTAACTAACCAAAGCCTCCTTGTTCCCCAGTGTCCAGAAATTCTTGGACATTTTTATTGAGCTTTGGACATTATTAAATTGTGTCAGGAAGCATTATTTCACTTGGCACAGGTTGTTCTGTTGCTTGTTTCATTCAGGTAGCACCTGTTGAATGGTTGTGTGTAAGGTGTCTTAGATGCTGAAGTGTGGATGCTAACTACAACCAGACTGTAGCTACATGTAAAGAAACAGTATTGAAGACCTGTACAGGGTTCCATCATTACCAGATCCTATGTACTAACTGCTGCTTTGTTGAATGCTTTCAGTTGTAGACTCTTTCTTTCTGTCCTCTAGGCATTGTCTACTTTGGATTCAGTCACCCTGATGTATCCTTTCTTCTACCGACCCATGTTTGAGGTGATCGAAGATGGCTGGCATTCCTTCCTTCCTGAGCAAGAGTTTGAGCTCTATTCCTCTGCTGTAAGTTAACATTTGACATTGTGGGTGCTAAGAATTTACCCAACACCATATTTTACTTGAAACTGTTCCTTTCCCATTGGAGACTAATGAGGTGGAGTGGGTTATTCATGCCTAAATTTAGAACATGCACTAGCTGTTGGTTCTGCCTTTTTCATCCTAGGCTGGTCATTTTACCCATGTGTTGGTGTAATTGCTTCAGTGCAATGCTTTTCCTTCCAATAAATTAACATAGTCCAGGTATTTTTTAAAATTTTGAAAATAACATTTATAAATACTGTTTTAAAAAATAAAAAAATAAACATTGTTTTGCTTAAAGCTAGTCCTGGCAATATAGGAGCCAGAGGAGTCAAGGACATCATGGGAAGGCTCATACACCACTAACCTGAACTCATAGGGACTGAACTCACAGAGACTGAACTAACAACCAGGAAGCTTGCATGAGACTGACCTAGACACTCTGCATATATGTTACAGTTGTGTAGTTTGGTCTTCTTATGGGACTCCTAACAGCAGGAATGGAGGATGTCTCTGACTCTTTTACTGGCCTTTGGGACCCTACTTTTCATACTGGGTTGCCTTGCCCAGTCTTAATATATGGGAGGTGCTTAGTCTTACTGCAACTTGATATGTTTTATTGATACTTGTAGGAGACCTGCCCTTTCTGGATGGAGATGGAAGAGGGAGGATTAGAGGGTGAGAAGATGGGAATGGGAGAGAGGGATTAGGAGGGAAGATATAGGGGGAGGCTGCAGCTAGGATGTCAGATAAATAGATGAATTTATAAAAAAAAAAAGCTAGTCCTGGCATACTGTGACTTGATTGGTAGGTGTCTCCTGAGTAGCACCTTAATGTGTACTAGATTTTGAGCCACTCTTTAAAAGTGTGTTGAGCCCACAGTGTGCCTAGCTCATGTGCTGCTGGGTTAACACATGGCTTGGACTCTAAGGCTAGCTTGCTAGAACTGGGTTTTGTCTTTTGGCTGTTTGACTGCTTCTATCATGCTTCTGTAATTGGCCACTTGGAATCAAGAAGTAGAGATTAAGGTGCCGTGGAATTTGAAGAGTGAAAGTGTCCATGGTGGCATAGGGGAATAGAAAGGGAGTTTTATGGTCTTGTATATAAATATCATCAAATATGGTGAAAATGTAGTTTGGCCCAGAGCTTGTCTGAGAGATCTGTATGACAGATGAAAACTTGGCAGGACTCATACTGCATGTTATGAAAAGCTTGTGGTGGCGGGGAGCCAAGGGCTCCTGGATGAAGTATCTAAAAGAAGGGAGCCAGAGTTTGAATCTACTGAGAAGGGGAAAGAACAGTCTATAAGAAGCATCCTTCAAGTGTGAGGAAGCAGCAGTCTGGAGTCTGTGTTCATGGCTTAGTGTTCCTCCTGGACTAGGAAGTAAGCAGCTAGAGTGTGTGCTTTGTAAGGTTAGGAAGCATGGGGGTTTATTCCCATTCAGTATTCCTGGTACATGACCAGCAAGTGGTAAGGATTTGTTAGGTGAATAAAAGAATGTAAGAATATGTGTATTTATAGAACAGGACTGAAGTGTTAATCTAATTTATCTTAATCAATAAAACAATTGGGAGTTAAATATCAGGATTAGAAACTGGAAGATCGGAGAACAAGAAACAGCCCCATTCTACTTCAGAGAAGATGATGGGCATCAAAGAAACAGGGAGTTTACTTTCTTTGTGGCAAAAGTTAGCCACTGGGAAAGAAACTGCCCTTTCCTTGACTGCTGACAGTTTGCTGTTCAAATTGGACAAGCAGGACACAAAAGAAAGTGACTGCCGAACTTTGTCAAGATAAGATAGGACAGCCCTTCAGAATATCCTGCTTCACAGAAAAGTCTGTCAGATATTCTAGGCCTGAAGGCTGAAGATGGGTGCCCCAATGTTACAGTGGAACCTTGGGTGACTGTCCAGGCAACCATCTATTTCTGTTATTTCTCACATTTTTTGGAAGTCTCTTGCTTGTACTTTCTGTTTACTTAGGTAATATTTGTTTCTCTGGTCTCTGATGGAGTTGAAGACTAGATAGTTATAGCTTTCCCTGTTATCAAATTCAGAAAAGAAACTCACAAAAGAGGTATAAAGTATGTAAGGTTGAGAGACATAAAAGATAGTTTTGGATTGGTAATGTATATTAGAATAGAAAGTGAATTAGGTACAACTTTGGACTCAACAAAATAGATAATGGAGTATTTTCTATAAACTTGTCAAATGCAAATGACTAGACATTGTGAATGTGATATTGCCTTACATATTTATATATAGTTATTTCTATGTTAAAACCTTCATTTTTTATTTAGATAAAAAAGGGGGGAAATGTTGTGTATTTTGTTTGTTTTCTAACAAAGCTTCCTTGGAGTCAGATGACTGAGCTAGCCACTAGCTAACCATAGAGGTCTGGAGACTGTACAGAGAGACAGGAAGTGATAAGGTAGGGCAGATCTGGGCCCATTTGGTTGGAGGAATCACAAGGTAGGAGGTCACTGGTAGCTGCTTCCGGTTCTCTGATCTTCCAGGTTCTTATTGCAATGTGGGTGCCAGACGAAGCATGAATCTAATTAATCTTAATCAATAAAAAGTCAGGAGTCAAATATCAGGATAAGAACCTGTTGACTTGCAGGCAGGCTGGAAGCAAAGTGAACATGGAGCTGAGTCACCATGAAACACAGATGTTGGAGTTTACAAAGTAGCCAACGTCTACATGCCTGCTAAAAACAAGTTACTGCACCAAGCATGTCTGCATTTACAGGGTCTATGACGCAACCAAAACTGAGTCAGAAATGTCACCCATTCTGCCAGAGGAAAGAGTCAGTAGGCAGTCACCTAAGATGTTCCAGATGTTTGAATCATCACACAAGTATTTTAAGGCAGTGGTTAAAACTGCTTAAGGAAGTAAGAGAAAGTGACCACAAAGTAGAAACAACAATACAATAATCAAGTGGGGGCTAGAGAGATGGCTCAGTGATTGAGTGCTTGCTGTTTTTCCATAGGACCTGAGTTGGGTTCTAGCATCTTCACAGGGCAGCTCGCAACCATCAGTAACTAAAGCTCTAGGAAATCCATGGTCTCTTTCAGCCTCCACAGGCACCTGCACACATGCTGCACACAAGTACATGTACACACACAAACACCAAGTAAAATAAGTAGAGACTCTGGTAAAAAGTTTGAAAATATAAGTAATTAAAATTGGTATGAATTTGAGCCTATAAATATAGAAGTTTCCATTAAGTTTCGCATCTTTTTTTCTTTTTTTAAAGATTTATTTATTATATACAGTTTTCTGCCTGTGTGTATGCATGCATGCCAGAAGAGGGCACCATATCTCATTATAGATGGCTGTGAGCCACCATGTGGTTGCTGGGAATTGAACTCAGGACCTCTGGAGGAGCAACCAGTGCTCTTAACCTCTGAGCTATCTTTCCAGCCTAAGTTTCACATCTTAACTTAATTTTCTATTAATGTAAGCCAGTTTTGATATGTTGAACCAGCTTGAATTTATAGGCACATATTAAAATTTGCACATGTCATTTTGGTTTTTTTTTTTTTAGCTGCAAAATATAGGTTTTTGTTTTACATGGAGTTTTTAGTTCTGTTTGATAGTTTCCTGTCATGTGTTTCCAGGACTTGGAAATGATCTAATGATATGTAAAGGCTCACCAGGAGTTTGTCCTTGTTGTCTTAAGAAAGATGAACCTATGCCATCACATTCTTCCTTTTCTAAATAGCAGAAGGAATGAAGAATTGATTATGGCTAATATCTCTACTCTGGCAGAGCATTCTGGAATGTTACAGTCTGTTGTAGCTGTGTTAAGATGAGCAGTACCGAGAAAGAGGTGCATGGGCTGATCTTGGCCACCATAACTATGAACATACTTGGCATATGTAACTAAGGGGCAAGAACTGCCTTGTGAAGTGGAGAGCATGAGGTGTGCTGTCTGAATCAAGCTTAAACTAATAGAATAACTTCAAATACAATACAAGGAAGACATGTCTAGTGATAGTGATCACTAGCCATGCCAGAAGCTGGTGGAATTGGCCTGAAGACTGGAGTGTGGGCTAGATGTCCAAATTTCCCATTGAATGGCTTTCCTGGCAATTGTCTCCAAAGCCTTTAAACCTTAGATACTTTATGACACTGAGATGCTTGGTTAGCTCTGAAATGCTATGTGTTTTTCAGACCAGTGAATGGAGACTGAGCTATGTCAATAAGGAATTTGCTGTCTGTCCTTCCTACCCACCAACTATCATTGTGCCCAAGTCCATCGATGATGAAGCTCTGCGGAAGGTGGCAGCCTTTCGACATGGGGGGCGCTTCCCAGTACTGAGCTATTACCACAAAAAGAATGGCATGGTGAGTATGAGGGGCACGCTCTGCTGACAAATGTGGCCTGGGGTGGATGGGTTCCTTTGCTTGGGAGTATTTCCTGTCCTGTGTGCCTTTTAGCTGAAGTCATTTGCCAGATCATTCCCACTAGTATATCCCCTTGTTAAGTGCAGGGATCAGGAGTGGGATGCTTTGTAGAGGAGGATGTACTGCTCAGCTTCAGAAAGGTAGGATTTGTCTTCAGAGCACAGTGTGCTTGCTGCAATGTTCTTAAGACAGAAGAGTGACATTTCTCTCCCTAGAACCCTGATTAGATGTTTACTGTAATTATTCTTAACAAATTTCCATGTGAAAGGTAAATCGAGCAGACACTGCTTCATAAGAGAAAGACGAATGACACATGTCATTTACTCATGCATTAGGAAACTGGGAAATTGGGAATTCTGAGGCCAGTAATGTTGTGGGTCCCTGAGCTCTGACTGGGACAGCCAGGGAATGGAGAAAGAATGAATGCACATATAGAACATTAGGGCTTGGGTAGGCTGTGCATAGAGTGGTGCCAACTATGCTACAATTGGAACCTCAGCCTGTTTAGTATGTACAGCATCAGGGAGGGGTTTAGCTAGTCTAGGTAAGAGGTCTCTGTAAGCCATCATTCTTAGGCTGTAAGCATACAGGAGGAAGAAGCTGCATTTGCTGGTTTTGCATAGACTATCAACATTTACAATTGGACTAGAGGACGGTTGTGCCATCTCTCTGACCTGACCTGGAGGCAAGGCTTTGTCAGTTTCTGATGGCATTGGTCTTTGACCTGCTCACATTAACAAGACACTTCACTCAGGCTTCCTCAGTTCCTCACAGGAATGCAACTGTCTAGAGCTTGCTGGGTGTGAGCTTTTCAAATGGCTTTCTGCTCACTTCCACCCTTTCAGTTTTTTGAGACAGAGACTCACTGTGTAGTTCTAGCTGTTCTGGAACTCTCTGTAGACCAGGCTGACCTCAAACACACAGAGATCCACCTCCCAAGTGCTGGGACTAAAGGCATGTACCACCATGTCTGACACTTTCTCCTTTCTTGTTTTTCAGTAAACTTTGCTGTTATGAGTAGGTTTTTCTGCCGCTCTGGTCCCACAGCCTTGCCAGCCCCAAATAACACACAGAGATGTTGTATGAGATATAATTCTGTTGGCCTGTTACTAGTTTCTTATCGGCTAGCTCTATCTTAATATTAACCCATTTCTATTAATCTAAGTACTTCCACGTGGTCTTATCTTACCGGAGAGAGGGGCTGGCATTCTTTTCTCTCTGTCCTCCATCTTGGATCTCCTCCCTACTCTTCCTTTCTCCTCCTTGTCTCCTAGTCCTGCCTATCTTGCTTTCCTATTGGCCAACAGTGCTTTATTTATTAACCAATAAGAGAAACATAGTTACAGAATGATATCTCCCAACATCTCCTCTTTTCTGTCTAAAATAAAAAAAAAAGGTTTTAACCTTAGCACAGCAAAATATATCATACGACAGTTATCAAATAAGAATCACAGTTAACAATATTTAGTTCATTAACATTTAGTAAGATTTAAAGAAAATATTCCATCATCTATCTTTCTGAGTCTGAAGTCTTATGTGTAACTTATCTTTAATCTTAACTAAGGAAACTATAGCCATAACTATCTGTCTTCAACTCCTTCAAAGACCACAGAAGGATAATATATAAACTCTAGAAATAACAGAGACATCTCGCTACCTGGTCAGGTACCTGAAGTTCTTCTGTAATGTTTCATCTTCAGCCCATAGGCCATAGTGTGTCTGGCAGACTCCTCAGCAAAGCAGGAAACTTTAAATTGTCCACCTGTATTGGCAGTTTGTCAGTCACTTTTCTCTGTGTCACAGACTGTCTGGTAGACTCTTCCATGAAGCAGGAACCCTGTAGCAATATCCATCATGTATCAGCATCACTTTCCTGGGGTCCTGCATGTCCAATTTATACAGCATAAAGTCAAACAGTCTAGACAAGAGTACTATCTTGCCCAAATGGCTAGTTTTGCCGTATTGGAAGTAAACTCCATAACATGTTTCTTCAATGTCCATCTTCCTTTCTGAAGGTGGTGTTGCCAGGAGCATTTCTGTCTCACTGTTAGGAAAATCCCTAAACCATTTTAAATGTCATATTCTGTAGGTCTTTGAAAGGTTTGAAGAATGCCTATCCATCTCAAATACAAGATACAAATGTATCTTGAAAACCAAACTAACTTAAGTTTTGACTATTATATTATATTTTGACTATATATATTTGACTATAATCTGTACTATATTATACATTACATTTCTAAATGTGCTATATAAACAATGACTAAACAAGAGGAGAAATATACATATCACAAAATTGACCTTAAATTGTATCAATAAATGAAAATCCATTCCAAAACAAAGTATTCATATCTATACCATAATTCCTTTTTTACCTTTAAAAAGATTGGTTGTGGTCATATAACCAACCCCATATAAATGAAAACAAACATTTATATATTTGGGAATTTGGGTGTCGTTCTTTCCAAACTGCTTCCTGCTGGTAGGGGCACTGTCATGGGGATCCTAAGAAGAAATCCTGGCTGTGATCTGCAAGTCTGCCTTGTCCCAGCTGTTTTGACTGTTGGATCACCTGGGACACTGTTTCAGGGGGTCTGGCATGATCAAACCATGTTAGTGTGGAAGGAATCCATAGCTTTTCATTTTCTGTGGAAACAAAAATAGAAATTCTTTTCCCCAGTAATCTGTCCTTAGACTTAAATTTTGAAGTCAAAGCATTTTTAAAATATATAAATTGGATTAATCCAGCAGCATTTGTTTTAACAGTTGTTGTTATTGCCTCAGCAGTCAAATGATACAAAGACAACTGTACAGTATCCAGATTCTCTCCATCTTTACTTGGCTTTTTTATTACTCTATTTCTTCTATTTCTGTTTTTTCATTTTTTGAGACAGGGTTTCTCTTTGTAACTTTTATCTGTCCTGGAATTAACTCTGTATACCAGGTTTACTTTGCAATCATAGAGATCTGCTTGCCTCTGTCTCTCAACTGGAATTAAAGGCGTGTGCCACCACACCCAGCTACTCTCTGTCTTTTTAAAACCATTTTATTCTTTTTCTCTCCCAAGCCTATGTATATTTTAAAACACACTGTAAACCTTTAGTGGTTTTCCTTAATGTGAATCTGTCTTTACTGTAAAGCTTTATTTTTTTGTGGCCATGAGCCTTTTATCTGGTAAACAACAACATTGCTAAAATGAAAGCCACAGTTGTTTTAGCCACGGTCTATCCAAGATGGCGGGAGGTACCTTTACCGCCAGAACTGAGAGCTGTGCTCATTGCCTTGGTCTACGCTGCCATCCAGCAGCATGCTGCCAGATTGGAGATGTGGTCACTGCCATTGCCAGCTCTCGTACACACCATTCAGTTGTTAGCAGAGCTCTTTAAAAGCCTTGTGGTTTTTTGCTGCTTATGCTGTGTCAGGAAATCTCCCTTAAAGGAGTGGCACAAATCTCTGCTTGTCTCTAGCAAAACAGAGTCCAACCGAAGAAAATGCTGCTACTAAGAAGCCTTGATTATCTCTGTTCTTTGGTTTCTAAAACCCTTTTTTAAGCTTTTGTTAAGTTTTAAGTGGGAGTTCTTATTAGCCACATTGCAGATGCCCACTTTCTAAAAACATAACCACAGACTGGCCAAGATTATGTTGAGCTATTTCAGAGTAGTAAGAGCATGTAATGATAGTGTCCTGAGACAGCACCAGACGAGTTTTTCCTCTGCCGTGCCAGCCCCAAATAACACACAGAGACGCTGGATGAGATATAATTCTGTTGGCCTGTTACTAGTTTCTTATCAGCTAGCTTTGTCTTAATATTAACCCATTCTATTAATTTAATATTTCCACGTGGTCTTTTCTGACCAGAGAGAGGGGCTGGTGTTCTCTCTATCCTCCATCTTGGATATCCTCCCTACTATTCCTTTCTTCTCCTAGTCTCCTAGTCCCGCCTATCTTGCTTTCCTATTGGCCAACAGTGCTTTATTCATTAACCAGTAAGAGAAACATATTTACAGAATGACATCCCCCCATCATTTTGCTTCTCATCCTGCAGTCCATATTAAACTAGATAATTACAGCTATCTTCCAACATCCTTTTCCATGGAATTATGAAAGAGGGCATCAATGTGCCAGAGTTTTAAAATTTTGCTCTTTTGTTAGCAGGCCATCTATCTGTCTGTTATTGCTCTTCACTTTTTATTTTACAGTGTTTTAACAATTGATACTCAATGTAGTGTTGAGTCACCTGATGGCATCATTGTAAAATAGTTGTTGTTTATTCTAAGCCAAACAATAGTGTCTGCCCAGCATGACAGGATTCATGAGCAGACCCTGCAGTCCTAAACAAAAGACTCAAGTAAAACAAGTAATGCATGTAATTCATCAATGAGAGCCTCAGGTACATAGGTGCAATGAAGCAGGGAAAGTTCTTCTGTGGTTCCAGATGTTACAGCTTTAGCTTTAGGGCTTATAGATGAGAGACTGGCCAAGCCTAATGGTGCATTCTGCAAGGCTCTGCTAGTAGTGGCTGGGGCATTGGCTCAGATACAGAACTGGGCAGTTATGAGTGACAGTTTAATACAGAGGAAGGCTGCGCTCTGACTCACAGATTCCATGTTTCAGCCCTCCCCTTGCTGGCTCCACTGATTTGGTTTTCGGTAAGTTAGAACACCATGGTGGTAGGAGTGTGGGGAGAAAGAGGCTATTGACTTTGGCAGAGTGAAACAGGAAGAAGGGGTGGGGGGCAAGGGATATCCCCTAAACACATCCCAAGTGACCTGTATACTCCAGGCAGGCCTCGCCTCTGAAAGTTTTTCCCACTTTCTAAAAACATAACCACGACTGGCCAAGGTTATGTTGAGCTATTTCAGAGTAGTAAGAGCATGTAATGATAGGTGTCCTGAGACAGCACCAGACCATTGCCCTGGAAGAGATTAGTTTAATGGGCACCACTTTCTTGAGAAGAGCTTAAAAAACAAACCTTTGGAAATATGTAGATGGTCTTTGGAGACAGCAGCCTCAGAATACTGAAAAGAATGATGGGGGAGGATAAATCATAGACAGGTAGCTTTCAGAACATTGAAAATAATTCCCCAAACAAAGGTGTATATAAACTTTTTATTTTGTGTTTTCCCTGTAATTCTTGCCAGAGCCTGCCAGCCCCATGTATGTGAAGTTGAAGTTTACTCTTTTCTCCAAGATTCAGTAATAGTAGTCTATCAGATAAACTTCTAGAGATATGAAGGGGGAAAGAACACATGGATTTTATCCTGTGTCTAAGGGTGAGGACGTGAGAATAAGGACTAACTGGAAGGCAGAATTGTCAGAAAAAGGCATGGGCTTTTGGGCTGCAGGTAGAGAAGGCAAGGGCAGTTGGTTGGGGTAAAGAGGAACATATATGCAGTCAACCAGACTGTTGTTACACAAGTGAAGCCTCCCTACTAACAGCCTTGTGTGGTCCTCTGCCCAGGGTCAGACCTCAGTGTTTCCAGGTTGAACAGGCAGAGTGAACATCAGGCAGAAAGTCTCAGCCTGTTTCCTATGTTGCTTCTTTTTGTAAAGGGGAGGCTTTTCTGAGCCATTCTTGGGTCTGCAGAGGTCTGCAGTTTACTTGAGGTGTGGGATATTTTATTGACTCTTAGGCTAGTATCATCTTCATTATGGGGCCAGATCTCTACTGCACGTCAGTTCATGGACTAAATGAAGTATAGTGCTTGATCATTTAGAGGTGATAATTGAGTTTACTGTGTTTGAGATAGCAGGGAAATATGCATTGTATTAAAGTGCAAGGCTTATCTCTGTTTTACAGGTGTTAATACATGCAGCCTTTTTGTGTATGGCATGCATGTCAGAGTCCATGGCAGAGTGCCACAGATTGTTTCAAAAGAACCCTGTTCCAGCTCCTTCTCAGAAACTTCAAGTAACTGCTATTGAATTGTTGCCATGTGTGCTTTCCAGGTGATTATGCGAAGTGGTCAGCCTCTGACTGGCACAAATGGACGAAGGTGCAAGGAAGATGAGAAGCTGATAAATGCCACCCTTAGGGCAGGAAAGCGTGGCTACCTCATTGACACCAGATCACTAAATGTGGCCCAACAAGCTAGAGCCAAAGGAGGTGGCTTTGAACAGGAAGCTCACTATCCCCAGTGGAGACGGATTCACAAGTCCATTGAGAGGTAAAGAGGCCAGCTGATTGCAGAGGGTGATCCTGTAGCTGTTCAAAACAGAGATCACAGCTGCTCCCCATAATTGAGGATCTGGAATAGGCTAGACAACCTACAGTGGGCTTCCTTGCCCTATCTGCTTTACTAAGGTTTAGTGGATGAAAATGTATATGTTTGTCAATGGAAAATAGCTCTCACCTCAAAGGGAGTAAGAGTGAGCTTATTCTAGAGCCTGGCCCAGAAACACAGATTTGGGTTGCCCCAGACAACATGTTCCAATGTGGACATGGCCTCATGAAGTTTTCATAGTTATAGGGTGAATGACATAAAATAAGGCATTTTCCAGGTACACTAGTGGGAACATCAGGTAGGTGGGGTACAGCAAACTGGGGGCTCTCTGCTGACAGGTCTCAGGTGCTGTCTGACAACATCCTTAGCTCTGAGCTATTGGACAGTACTGATTTACCAAGTGACTGTGTTCCAGAGTTTTTACCAGTGGTTGAAAGGTTAGGTCAGACAGAGCTGGACAGTGGTACTAAAAGAGCAAGAAGTAGTCAAACATAATTTGACTCTGAATCTGTAATATTCCAACTCCACAATCTCAAAGTTCAAATCTGTCAGCCTTGTGGTCTTCAACATAGGTGTGGCTGTTTTCTGCAAATTAGCTCACACTATTGTATATGGTGTGCTAGCTTGATTCAGCAGTAGATTGAGAAATGATGAAGCAACATATCCATCATCTCACGTACTTGTCTGTGGCAAGAATGTTTGTGCCTTCTCTGTCAGCAGTTTTCAGTTGTCCTGTAGCTGCAGCAACTGTGTCTGTAGAAGCAACCTCCCAGGTTAATGGCTTGCAGGCCTGAAAGAACAAACCAGGCCAAATATTGCTGAAGAAAACTGGTTTTTAAACAAGAAGAGAAAGAAAGGAAGTTCCTAATTCATTGTATAATGGCAGTGAAAGTATTGGAACTTGTGAAAAGTCATGAGAGACAAACACCAGAGATCCATAGATTTTAGTTGTCCGTTTAATAGGTGCTTTCTTGGGAGAAGGGTGGCTGGGCTGCCTGCATTCTTGGCAGGGGAATTTTAGCACTGTCTTTCCTTCTATTTCTGGCAGCAGAGTGCCATTGAATTTTGTTATACAGAATGTGCAGATTGATTTGGATAGGAGGGTACTTTAACCATTTTCCCAGCCCATGAACATGAGATATATTTCCATTGATTTGTGTCCACATTAATTCCTTGAGCATTTTATAGCCTTCAGTGTATAGATCTTTTATGGTCTTGATTAAATTCACTTAAGTATTTTATTCTTTTTGTTGTTCCTGTGGATGAGATCTTCCTTCCTTCCTTCCTTCCTTCCTTCCTTTCTTCCTTCCTTCCTTCCTCCATCCTTCCTTCTTCCTTCGATGGGGTTTACTGTGTTGCCCTGGCTGTCCTGGAACTCACTCTGTAGATCAGGCTAACCTCAAACTCACAGAGATCTGCTTGCCTCTGCCTCCTGAATGCTATAATTAAAGGCCTGCACTCAGGCGGGGTTGGGGTGGGGGGCTGGAGAGATGGCTCAGTGGTTAAGAACACTGGTTACTCTTTCAGAGGTCCTGAGCTCAATTTCTAGGAATCACAAGGTGGTTCACACCATCTATAATGGGATCTAATGCCCTCTTCTGGTAGGTGTACATGCAGATAGAACACCATATACATAAAATAAATAAGACTTTAAAGGCATGTTCCATCACTACCCACCGATATTTTCTTTTTCTTTTCAACATAGTTCACTGCTAGGGTGTAGAAAAGTGCCTGGCTGGGGCTGTGAAATGACTCAGTCAGGTAAAGTGCTTACAGCATGAAGGCCTGAGTTAAGCTCTCCAGCACCCATGTAAAAGGCCGGATGTGGTGGCGTGTACCTATAATTTCAGTGGGGAGCTGGAGACAAGGACAGGACAACAGAGGGTTCCAGAATCTCATTGGCCAACCAGTATAGCTCAATCAACAAAACTCCAAGTTCAGTATCTCAAAAAATATGATGGAGCACAATAAAGGAAGAAACCCGATATCAAGTTCTGGCCTCTGTTGATCTACTTGTATACATGTGCCTCTGCATAAACACACACACACACACACACACACCTCCTGACTTATAAATGTTGCTTTTGTAACTAATCTGAATTTTTTGTTTGTTTTGTTTTGTTTTTGTTTTTTGTTTAATGGATTTTTTTTTTCTGGAATCTTTAGAATTTTTTTCTATTACAAAGAGACAATTTAGCCTCTCCTTTTCTGACTCATTGGTTTATTTCTTTCTGTTTTTCATTGTTCTGACTAGTACCATGATGAAAACAGGCATTCTTGTCATGTTACTGATCTTCAAGGAGATACCTTTGACTTCCCCATTGAGGATGATGTTGGCCATGGGTTTGTCACATGGCCCTGACTGTGTTCAGGTCCATTCTTTCCATAGGTAATTGGTGGAATCAATCAGGAAAGGATGCTAGCTTTTGTTTAATGCTTTCTCTGTGTCTGTTCTGTGCTTTTGTGCATGTATTGATTAGTTTGAGTTATGCCCTTGTGTGTAAGGGTTGTGGCCCTGAGTGATGTTCCTTTAAATCTGCTGTTGAGTTCAGTTTGCCAGTGATCGTCATGGGTGATCTTTTCTTACCTGTTCTTGTCTGTCTTTGATATTAGGGTTGGGCTAGTAGGTAAATTCACAGTCTTCTCTTCAGGTTGACAGGACTTGTATTTAGTTCTTTTAAGTGTTTGGTGCTTGTGGCACCCTTCAGGCCCTGGGCTTTTCTTTGATGGCAGATTTTTTGCTTCTTGTTTCTGGTTCGTCTTTTGTTAACTCATTGTATTGTTTACATTTTCCATGTCTTCATGACTCAGTCTTATCAGGTGCTGTTTTCCCAGTATTGTGCTCACTTTTTAGGGTATCCAGTTTGTTGATGTATAATTACCCATAAAAGTCTACAATTCTTTCTTGTTTCTTTTTCCTTTTGAGACAGGATCTCACTGTGTAGTCCCTGGCTGGCTTGGAACTAGCTATGTAGATCAAACTAGCCTCAAACTCACAGAGCCCCACCTGCCACTCACAGAGCCTCTGAAGTGCCTGGATTAAAGGCCATTGCACCATGCATTTTCCTATGATCCTTCCTGCTCCTGTGATATCAGTTGCAGTGTCTCCTCTTGCATTTCTCAATACATTTGCTTGGGTTCTCTCTTTTTTATTTAGTTGAGCTAAAGAGTTTTCAATTTCACCAACGCACATGTGTGTGTGTGTTGTGTGTGCATGTGGCAACTGGACACAAAACTTAGGTATATTAAGCAAATGAGCTCCACCCCAGCCTTTATTGAATTTTGTAAGGTAAGCAAAACTTCTCATGCTGGATAAGCACAGATGAGCCCCACTAGATAGCAATCTTCTTTCATTCAGCCCTGAGCTTTTACAGTGACAACTGCTGCCAGACTGGCAGCACAGATTTGCTACATATAATTACATCTTCCTACATTAGAAGGGTTAGAGATTCAGTCTCCTCTGTAGCCACCTGTTTCCTCCTTGTGTTCCCTCCACCTGCTTGCTTCTCCTCAAGGGAGGCCCTTACAAGTTCTTCAGGGAGTGGCAGGTGGGAGTGGAGGCTTGGAGCTAAGATGACTAGGATTTGGGTCTGGTCTTGGATGTCACTACTGAGACTGGGTTGTGTAATCTGGATCATTCAGCAGCTTTAGGATTGAGGTGTGTTCTGCATCTTGGAATCAGGCATAACAGAGCTCAGTGTCCTGACCTCTGCCCTCTCAGCTAACCTCGCTGTGTGGACTGAGTCTCCTCTGTTCAGCAGGAGTGGTTTTCCAGGAGACCCTAAAGCATCTTCACAGTGGTGCTAAAAGTCTTTTGTAGTCCTTTCAGACTCAAGTTGGTACACAGACAGTAGTGTGTTCTGAACTGCCTTACAGCTGACTGCACTGGAAACAGGTTTGGGTTTGTTTTCTTTGTCATTATGTTTTATCTATCCCTTTTTTATTTCTAACTTTCTTGTTTTAAAAGATATCATGTTCTTCAGGAGAGCTTAATCAAACTTGTGGAAGCATGTAATGAACAAACTCACAACATGGACCGATGGCTTGGCAAGCTGGAGGCCTCCAACTGGCTGACACACATCAAGGAGATTCTGACCACTGCCTGCCTAGCAGCCCAGTGCATTGACAGGTAGTGTGTGTTTTACCTCCCTGGATGGGACTCACACTGATGGCCAGACATGGTTCGTATCCAGAAGTGTGTGTAGAGGCATTAAAGTCCATTCCCACTCCATAGCTTCCAGATGTTTTTATCAGTACTGTGCAGAGGTAGGGGGTGAAGGGGTCTGCTTACAGTTACTGGTGAGGGTGTGGGTCTGATGTGGAATGAGTGAATGTGATTAGTGTCCATGTACAAACCTCTGATGACACAGGTAAGTACCACAGGGCTACTTTTTCTGTGGAATCCTTAAGTTATGAATTCTCAATGAAAAAGGATGAAGTGTTCTTTAGTGAGTCAGTGGAATGATACTGTCACACAGTGTGGTTGTCTTTTCTCCTGTGCTGGATTTCTATCCTAAGGTGCTTAGTCTGGGTACTTACTCTAGTCTCAGCTGGGAATCCTGCTGGTAGTTATGCAGTTTGCCAAGTATTCAGTCAGTTAAAGACTCCTAACCCTTGAGGCTTGATGCAGAAAAATGAACAGAGGCAGAATTATATAAATTGTTGCAGAAGCATAGAGCCTTTTTTGTGTGTGTTTTTTAGAGAATCAGATAGGTAAATGAGTATTCTTTGAGGGGGGAGGGATGAGACAGGGTTTCTCTGTGTAGCTCTGACTTTCCTGGAACTCATTTTATAAACCAGGCTGACCTCGAACTTAGACATTCACCTGCCTCTGCCTCCCAAGTGCTGGGATTAAAGGCGTGTGCCGCCACCACCAGACACACAGAGCCTTTAAAGCAGGGGATTCCATAGAAACCATAGGTAGGTATCAGCATTGTCACCACCTGCCTGGGTGGCACTTGGACATGTTAGCTTGTTTCTTGCTTCCAAATGAGGAGAATACTTTCTTCATTCTTTCAAAGCTAATTGGAAGCTGGAGTGAGTTCCCTAAGATCTTGTGCTAAGTTAGTAAAGAGGCAGAGACCTGGGATGGAGATTAAAGCTGCTGCTGTCCTTTGTTTGGGCTTAGGTTAGGGAAATTAAACCAAAGTTCTGTGACAAGAAGCCAACAGTTACAAGACTGAGCGGCTGACATGAACATGTCTGTGTCTTTTAGCCCAAGTCTGCCTAATTACTACTTATGTCATGAGTACAGAGGCTTTTTAGTTTTTCAATATCTTATGTATCCAAGGCTAGCCTAGAACTCCCTTTGTAGCTGAAGATGACCTTAGATTTCTGGTCCTCGGTGCTTCTACCTACCAAGTCCTGGGACTGCAGGAGTACACCACCACAGCCAGTATATGCAGCACTGAGGATAGAACCAGCGCTTCTGAGCTGCTAGGCAAGCTGAGCCCCAGCCTGGCTCCACCTCCACGTCTGCCTTCCCAGCAGCAGTGATGGAAGGGTGGGAGGAGGGCAGCCCCAGGAGCAGCCACCTCATTGCTCCAGAGGGCTGGGTTTTTACTATGTTTGGTCCCTTTTCTGATAGGTTGGGATTTACACCTCAATAAAAAATTGGCTTTATAATTAATTGCTCAAATGTAGAAATAAACCTTAAATTAAGTTCAGAATAAATAGCACTAACAGTTCAGTGATACTTCAATATGTATGAAAGCCAAAAGTATTTGCTCATACTCTTTAGCATATTTATTAGATATTATTCTAAGAACGGGGTCATATAACCTACCATTGGTGGAGTCTGTTGTTTGCACAATAAGTGCTCCAAAATAATCCCACAAACAAGTATATCCACCATAGTATTACAAAATATATAGGACTTAATAGGTTATAATTTAATCACTTAAGAGAATATTACAGAACCATTACTAAAAAGGTCTAAACGTGGCATAGTTAATGTTTACAATGAAAATGAAATAGTGGGAAATTGCCTTTCATTATTACTAGATAATATGTATGTAGATCCAAAACCTGGAATGTCCCTTATCCAAAATTTCTTTATGTGGTTTTAATAAAAAGGCTAGAAGAGGGCAGAGTGTGTGGTTTAATGTTTATTTAGGTATCTCTTTAGGATAATGGAATCTCAAGAACATGGCAACTCTTATGGGTAGGGGTGTCATTGCCAGACCTTATGACCTGACAGTTGTATGGTTTGTTTTTAGTTTTTGTTTTTCCCTCGCATCTTTGTGCCTTGGAGTATAGTTTAGAACTTTTTGTTTGTTTTTTGCATCCATTACAGTTGGTAAAGACTGATAGGGGAAAGAAAGCTGAGTTCAAGGTTGGAAAAGTCATTTTAATGCACGTTTATGGGTTTGATGGGAAAGGTTTTGCTCAGCCACAAAAGCAGGAAAAGCAAGTACCAACTGTGACAGGACTGTTGTCCAGGGTTGGAAAGTCATCTGGAAGGCACTGCTAGGCGTGTTGGTTTAGGAGGTCTCTTGCTGTGTGAAGTTTGGGATTCACTATGGTCTCCTTCATCTGCCCAGTGTCTCAATTAGACTCCATGCTCTACTGACAAGGCAGGGCAAGAGACTGGAACACTCTGTTTATGGAATATTGGTTGCTAAGGAGTTTCCCATCTGCTCTGGGTTTTCCTCTCAGGGAGGGAGCATCGGTATTGATTCATGGGACAGAAGGGACTGATTCCACGCTGCAGGTGACTTCTCTGGCCCAGATCATCCTGGAACCGAGAAGCAGGACCATCCGTGGCTTTGAGGCCCTGATAGAAAGAGAGTGGCTGCAGGTGAGAAAGCTGCTGGATAAGAATGGGGCTGCCTGACATTGCAGTCTCAGTTTGTGGTGCTAGTAATTTAAGTGAAATTATGATTATTTAAACATTTGAAGTTGTATGTTTAATTTTCGGTGGGTCAGTTAATCCACCTTCACACAAATGAGTGTTAGAATCATTATCTTGCAGTTTCTCAGTCTCTCATATTGTTGGTTGAACTTGGCCTGTGTGCATGTAAGCAGGTGATCCACCACTGAGCTGCAGCCCCGTCCAATGCCTCTCTTGGCTTCTGTGGTTCACTTAGCACTTCATTCACCTTCATAGTTCTGTGCAGGTTGAGCATCCCTAATGTGAAAATCCCAAATGCTCCAGAATGCTGACTCCTGACCTCCTGTGACTGCTGCAGTGGAAATGCAGGTGTAGAATGAGTGCACAAATCACCCTCAGGCTGTGTGGATAAGGTGTGTACTGTGAGGCCGAGGTTCCGTCCCCCAAATATCTCATGCACATATGCACATTTTCCAAAATATGAAAAACCCTGGAGCCCAGTGCACTTCTGGCCCCTAGTGTTTTAGACAAGGGATCCTCAGCATGTGCTTTGTTACCAACAAGGGAAATAGAATGTAAAACAGATGATGGTCTCCCAGATAAACTGGGGAGGAGGGGATTGATCGCAAGGCAGTACTTGAACGTTTTCTGCATTTTGTCCATCCTGCTCCATCCTATACACTTTCTCTAAGATCCAGTGAAATGTCATGCTTTAATGGTGTGTTTAGGTCCTAAATCTCCTTTCACACATGGTTGATCCATTCCCTTCAGGTCCCATCCCATCCTGGATGTATTTCTCCCTAGGACACAACATTGCCATATACTTTGACTGTTACCAGACAGGCCTTGGATTGAGGTTGAAATCAAGTCCAAGGATTTTATAAATCGGTCATTAAGATATACCTTGCATTTGATGTCTGAAGGGCATTTGCAGTCCCCATGTTCCTATCCTCACTACACAGCTTCACTAAGGATATGGAAATTGTAATTTTTTTCCTTAGTTGTAGAAGTTAGTCATTTGAAACCAAAAACTCATCTGGATAGGAGCTACTTGGTTTTTCTGGTATTCCAATAAATAGAAATGGCACTGTGGTTGTGTGAAGTGGTGTCAGGACCCTCACATTTCCATCCTGTCCACTAGGCTGGTCACCCGTTCCAACAGCGCTGTGCACAGTCAGCTTATTGCAACAGCAAGCAGAAGTGGGAGGCGCCTGTGTTTCTTCTCTTCCTGGACTGTGTGTGGCAGATCCTCCGGCAGTTCCCCTGCTCATTTGAGTTTAATGAGCACTTCCTCATCATGCTCTTTGAGCATGCGTATGCCTCACAGTTCGGAACATTCCTGGGCAACAATGAAAGTGAAAGGTGGGTGAGCTCACACCAGGTTACTTCCTAAAAGAGATTGGGGTTTGGGTTTATATGAACGTTTGTTTATAAGAAGGTGGAATCTGCAGTTAAGTACAAATTAAATTATATGAAGTATAGATGCCCTGCCAGCCAAGTGTGTGCTAGGTGAAAGAAAATAAAATTAGTTGATGCAGTGCTTAAAAGATTTGAGAAGATTAGCCAGCCATTTTCATATTAATGTCTTGATATATGATCACAGTTGCATATATTTGGGGGATACATTATCATATAACCAGGTCCGTCCTCCATCCACTTCTTTGGTTCAGGAGACCCAGAGAAATTAAATGACCATCCAGAGTCACTCAGCTAGTGAGCCATCAAAAGTATGGCCTGGGGCTGGGGGATGGCTCAGCAGTTAGAACACATACAGCTCTTACAGACGACCCAAATTGTGTTCCTAGCATGCTCATTGGATGGCTCACAACTGCCTGCAACTCCAACTCTAAGGAATCTGATGCCTGCTGAGGGCAGTTACACTCATGTGAATATATGTATGTGTGCACATATGTTGATATATATCATATATATGTACATATACATATATAGATATATGTACATATACATATATAGATATATGTACATATACATATATAGATATATGCACACACAACTATATATATCAACATATGTATACTGTTGTTGATTGGAGTTTTTTTTTTTTACTTTTTGGGGCCCACCACCCAGCTCCCAAATAAATCACACTTGGAGGTTTTTTTTTTTTTTTTTTTTTTTTTTTTTTTTTCTTATAAATTCCCAGCCTTAGCTTGGCTTGTTTGTAGCCAGCTTGCTTAACTTAAATTATCCTTTTTATCTTTTGCCTTTGGGCTTTTACCTTTCTATATTTCTGTGTATCTTTTCTTTCCTTCTTATTGTGTGCCTGGCTGGATGGCTGACCCCTGATGTTCCCCTCCTTCTTGCTCCTTCTATTTGTTCTCTTGCTCCCAGCCCCGCCTATCCTTTCCCCTGCCTAGCTATTGGCCATTTAGCTCTTTATTAGACCATCAGGTGTTTCAGACAGGCTAAGTAACACAGCTTCACAGAGTTAAAGAAATGCAACATAAAAGAATGCAACACATCTTTACATCATTAAACAAATGTTCCGCAGCATAAACAAATGTAACACATCTTAAAATAATATTCTACAACAGTATACTCAAAAGTAAAATCTTGAAAATGAATTTTTTTACAAGTATAACCTCAACACAGGTCTTCTGGTTCCTGTTTTACCTGGAAACTGTCCCCAGGTCCTGAGTGACAATGTTGCTTCACAGTCTAGCCACTGCCTAGTTACAGAAGGGTTTGGGAGGTTCACAGATGCCCCTGGCATATATTTTCATTCAGAAGCATTTTGTTTCTTACTGAGTCTTGTTTTCTGTCACACACGGAGTAGTAGAAGACCTTTTAAGAGGAACACTGAAGGATGGTTGGTAGCCATTAATGGCTTTAATGATGATTTTCTTTCTTGAGCAGGTGTAAGTTGAAGCTACAGCAGAAAACAATGTCTTTGTGGTCGTGGGTCAATCGGCCCAGTGAGCTAAGTAAATTCACCAATCCACTCTTTGAAGCCAACAACCTGGTCATCTGGCCTTCTGTGGCTCCGCAGAGTCTTCAGCTGTGGGAAGGTAATTCCCCTGCCCTGTGCAGAGATTCACCCACTCCAATCTATGCCCTGAGCTTGCCAAGTGTCACATGCCACTGGTGTGTGGATGTTGCTGTTCCCTCCCTGTGAGTGTGACCTGTCTTCCGACTAATAGGCAGAATTTAACAGGGAGTTGGTCGGTAGCTGGGACATGAATGAATTGTAAGTTCCTTGGGGAAGGTTTCTATATATTTCATTTAAGCTATTAATACAGTTAAATGAGTATTAAATGATGACACACAATCATTCCAGTAGGTTCTGTATGTAGACACAAAATGCCATCAGTGGAGAGAGTTTCAGGTAGTGCAGCTGTTCATGTGGAATAGCTGTTATAATGCATTTCTGAGTGTGTTCTAAAACATAGTCTTCCATGAGCAATTTTCAGACCACTGAAGCTAATCTCCTTTAATACCAAAGCTTGTTTTTTAAAACATGACCAGAACTCACATAAATTATTTTAGGTGTTAATTCCACCAGGACAGTAGAAGTACCATTCAATTTTGTAATCACTTTGAAGACAGTAAGTGCATCTTCATGTGTGTTTGCACTAAACAGCATAGATACAGGAAGGCCATTGTTTGGAAATATCACCTAGGTTACCGTGAATGCCCATTGTTAACTCCTAATGTTTTGTGATCTCAGGGTAGCTCATGTATGGGAAGTGGCTTGCCCATTGTGTGATGCTTTGCTTTTCTGATATACCTCTTGTTCATCTTGGTATATCTGCTGAGTTTTGGTAAACTAAATGTCTCCAGCAATTTCTAGGTTCCCTGAGCAGGGCCTGTGAATCTGTGAAGGAGTTTGGCTGTCCTGAGCAGAGTCTCTCTGCTTAGTCTATGGATTTTTATAGATTACCATGGATCACAGAATAAGTAATTTCTTAAATGAGTAATTGTCACCCTGCTTCCTTTTTAAAGATCTTGGAGATGGTGAAGTAGCTCAGTGACAACCTGAGTTCTGTTCCCAGGATTCATGTAGTGGAAGTAGAGAGTCTACTACCTCTGGAAGCATGTCCCTTCTCTCTCTCTCTCTCTCTCTCTCTCTCTCTCTCTCTCTCTCTCTCTCACACACACACACACACACACACACACACACAGTCTCTCACACATGCACATACATACACATACAAGAACATATACACATGCACACATCATCTAAATAAAATTTTGTACTGTTTCTGAGGCAGTTTACTTAAAAGACACTGACTACTTAATCATTGAAATGGGAGGCCAACTGTTTGAGACAAATGCCCAGTCTGGAGTTGGGTGGCCTGAAATATGATTTAATGATTGTCTCAAAACTCAGTGGGAATTTAGAGGCACAGTGCCATGCGTGTTTACAGTGTTCACACTGAATTAGGAACAAGCATCCAAAGATGCTTGTGTGCAGAGGTTAGAAGTAAACACATTGTCATTTGATATAAAGGATTCAGTAGGCAGATCTCCATAAGTTTGAGGTCAGCCTGGTCTACAGAGTGATTCCAAGACAGTTAGGGCTGTTACACAGAAATCCTGTCTAAAAAACAAACAACAACAAAATCCTGTACCTCTGATGTTACTGTCACCATCACTTTTCCAGTGAGAATGGTTGTACTCATGCAGTTAGTCACACAGGCAGACCAAATAGGAGTCTGCAATTGTAAAAACAGGTGACTTACTTATGAAAGTGAAGGTCATGGCACTATATAATTTCATGAGCATGTGACAACAGTGTTTTTGTTTGATAACCAGTGCACATGTTCATGACAACAGCAGTTCTTAGCTACTGTGTGGATTTTTTTTTTTTTTAGTAACTGAAGAATCTGTGTCGTTTAGAGAATCGTGAAGCACAGAGTGAACCACATGTAATGGTATATGCTTGGAATCTTAACCGAACGGAGGCTGAGGCAAGAGGATCATAGAGCATCATGAATTTCAGGCTAGCTTGGTCCATTTAGGGCTATAGATCCAGAGTAGAGTATTTGCCTGGCATGTGCAAGGTCCTCGGTTCAGTCTCTAGTGCTGTAAAACAAAAATCTAAACAAATACAACATGGGTTGTGGAAAATGAACAGTAGTGCATGTAGTTGCCAGTGACATAGTATTGCTACTCTGAACATCTTACTCCTTCTGCTTTCATTCCTGGATTCTATAGGAATTTTCCTACGTTGGAGCAGATCCTCTAAGTATCTGGATGAAGCATATGAAGAAATGGTTAACATCATTGAATATAACAAGGAGTTACAAGCCAAGGTCAATATCCTGAGGAGGCAGTTGGCCGAATTGGAAACAGAGGATGGGCTACGAGAGAGTCCTTGAAAGACCTCCCCACCTGTCCTGAGGACCTATGTAGGCCTGAGTCCGTCTCTCCCTCTGTTTGCCCTTCAGTTCACTGTACACAGTAGCCTTGAACTTGGCTGTAGGTGTGGGATCCTGTAAGGTTATGGCTTTCTTAGCACTGCAAGATGGAAGTCACTAACACACACCATTATAGCCTGCTAGGCCCTTTGTTTTGGGAGCAGGAGGTGCTGTCATATCACTAAATGTATGACACCTACGCCCTATGCTGTCCTCCATTTCTACTTTCTAAACAGTGGTCCAGACTAGTTAAATATCCATCTAACACATGGGCCAGACTTATCTGCATTCAAGTATACAAGTGTTTTTAAAGACAGAAATGGTAGCAAAGCCAGAATTTTGTGTTATCCTCTCCCTACTCCCCGCCCTTAGATATAAAATGACCATTCTGCTTTAAAACAGTTTTGGACTAACAAAGCCTATTTTGTCAAAAAGGAAAAAAATCAGAATAGTTATTTGTGATAAATCTTTCTACAAGGGTACCAGGTATAGTCTGATAATTTCATTAAGAAAAGGTAATTTTGCAAGTAGATGCTAAACATCTTTGCCATAGAGAATTGAAATAGGAGTTCCTCACTGGTAGCCATCTGCTATCGTTGTATTGACTTTTCAGGTTTCTGACCATACATACAGAATTCTTTTTGAGTCGTGGATGTGTATGAAACCATAGCTTGAATAGAATTCACTTTTAGAACTATCCAACACATCCAGAAGCGAGAGGTCTGAGTTCTTACTGCACTGGTTGGTATCTGTCCCTTGGTGACTTATTTTATTCTTACATATTCTGAGTTGACTTGTGCCTCAGCTAGACTTTCCTGTCAGCTTGAGCCATCTGCAAATCTCATCTGCCCACTTGTTCTTTCTGTGTTTGGCAAATAGGATTGCACTAGGGTGGGAAGCTAGGAAAGTAGCACAGCTGTTTGAAACTTTACTGTATTAGAAACAGTGGTGCAACAGCTGCCTTAAGCTCTGGGTGCTGCTGGAGGTGGCACCTCTCTAATCCTAGCACTGGGAAGGCCAGGGCAGGGGGACTTTTAAGTTTGAGGCCAGCCTGAGCTATATAGTGGGTGCCTGGCTCGCCTGACCCACCAAGCGAGACTGTTTAAAAGAGGGTCTGTGGTCCTGCTAAAGCAATGGAAAATGGCCACTGCTTTCCACCTCCAGTTGTCCTGTCTCCTCTCCCTTTCTCCTTCCTTCCAACTGTGAAAGCAGGTCAGGAACCAATCAGCAGTCCCGATTCTGCTGGTAGCTTGTCCACTGCACCTCTGAGCTCATCTCTGTTCTTGACCTGCTCTTTGGTTCACTGATGAGCAGAGCATAAGCGAGACTTCCTTGCTATAGGTTTGTTTTATGTGAATTGTCCATCTCAGTTTTGAAGAAGAGATTGCCTGGATTTCTTGAGGCTGCTTGGTCACCAGCCCTATCTGTCACTCTGCTACAGCCCTGTATGTTTTCTTCTACTTTTGTCTCAGCTGCATGTGAAGGAGTTCTCTACTTCTCAGCTGATGGACCCATAAGGAGAACCATCTGGAGGGTTTTCCTTTATGGTTCTTTGGAAGTGATTCCCACTGCTATGGACCAGCTTTAAGGCATCTGTGCACAAAACCTTAGGCATTTTATTATGCTTAGGTAGGGAGAGATCTGCTGCCCTCCCCTGCCCCCAGCCAAACCTGTGTGCCTGCTCCCTGATGAACACATCCAGAGTCATGACAGTGGGATCCAGTACCACTGTCTGTTTCCTTTTCCCACGAAACAGCAGTCATCACTGGCTTTGACAAGCTTGCATTTTAGTGTGGATTTATAGAGATTGTCCAAATATCAGCTTTGAAAGCAAACCGTGATATCAGCCCACTTTCCAAGGACCATTTAATAATGCAAATACTATATCTTCCCTAATCTGTCACTGTGACTTTGGGGTTTTGTGGAGTCACACTGTCCACACCCTCCCCTTGAGTGCAGTGAATAAATACAGCAGCCACACTTGGGAAACTGGTTCCATGTTTTGCTGAGTTGCTTGAATGATCGTGACTGTAAGACCTCTAGTGAAGAGGATGGAGCCTGTGTAGGTCCAGTAATAATACTGTGAGACCTCAGATTCCCATGTACCCATGGTCTCTGTTTTCATCCGAGGGAGATTTCATAGTGTAGGCCACAAACTGAAAGCATCATAGGTCAATGCCTTCCTTTATCAGCAATGCAAGGGTGCTTTGGTTTAAGTCAGTATGTTTTTGAAAATCAGAAAACCAGTTACTTGATCATCTAAGAAACCTGAAACAACTGTGTGGACAAGATTTTACAGTGATGTCAGTAATTTTTATATTTTATACCGTGAAGAGAAAAGCAAAAATATTAAAATCCTATAGTCTTAACACATACATATTTTAAGGAAAAATTAAGACTGTCAAAAGGCAAAAATTAAGAATGTTTTTTTCAACAAATCTGGAAAGATGAATTTGAGGCCTGACATAGAGTTGGGTTTTACTGCTGCATTATCTTTGAAAAATGAGGTTTAGTGGAAATTTAGCCTTTGATTTGGTTTGTGCTAAGTCAGTATGGCAGGAAAGATTTGACCATTTAATATCCCAATGTGAAAACCAGAGCAGAGCATTTGTCCACATCTCAGTGCGTAGAGATGCTGGCCCCTGGGCCATGTCTGATTTGGGTGCAGCTATTGTCACTGTTAGGCTTACTTACCAAACCGCCATCTGAAGCTGGGGCTTTAAAACCTGTCCACCCCACCCCACCTGATTCTGGATGCTTTGGCCTTCACCAACAGATGATGTCATTGGGTACATCTGGTACAGATTATGGCTTAGCTTCTCTTTGTGTCTCAAGATGGCTTCCTTGCAATGTCAACATGAGGAAAGCGCTTCTGCAGAGCTGGGACTGTACGTCACTACCAGAGTGCTTTTATGTTTTTCGCCATATTATCAGGAAGTGGTGAAACTGGTTTCTCCTTTTGTATTTATTGGCAGATGGTACGATGTGCAAAATTTCCTTTCTACTTTAAGTTTCCTCATTTTTATTTCTTCTAATAAATTTCCACTCTGCCGCATAACCTATTGTCCACAGATTGTCCTTTGACCCACAATTCCGGAGGAAACTCAACTAAGTTGTAGACTTCTAAACTTGTCTGACTATTAAGATGAAGAGCCCACTGAGGCACAAACTGTGCTCATAGACAGCAGTCAGGGAGCTCACTAGGCACTGCGTGGTCCTTGCCGAGGCAGTTTTCAGCACCTTTCTCTTTAGCCTCCTGCAAGACCAAGGATTGACTGTGTGACTTGTAGTAGAGGACACTGTGTGGCACTGTTGTGCTGAGGCATTGGCTCCTCTTTTAAAACTGCAGGTCTTAGGGAAGGCGGGGTATTCCCACGAGTGTATCTAGAACCTTGTTGCTTAATCCTGAGAGATATGCTAGGTTTACACTAAAATAATTATACTTGCACAACTTAGCTTAGTTTAGAAAAAGAATATATATTTATTTCTTCAGTAGCTAAGCATTAGGATTGTACTCTGTGTATTTGAATGTAACTATCAAAATGCACTGTCATTCTTGTTTTACACAATAAAGTTGCACTGTATGGCAAATGTATGCTTTGCTGAAATCTGAGAATGCTGTAACAGTTTTGTTTTAAGTTTATCTGTGCGTGTGAGTGTGCACACACACATATACCCTTAGGGAAAATTCTGAGCTTTTGTAAGTCTACCTGCATGTTCCCATGTTCCTCACTGTAAGCAAGCCCCCCAATTAAATGGTTCCTTTTTCTAAATGCTGCCTGCCTTGGTCTTAGTGTCTCTTCACAGCAATAGAACAATCAAATCACTACAGGGTCTCAGCTCAGGCTGGCCTTGAACTTGCTATGTAACTTGAAGTGATCTTAAACTTCTGCTCCTCTTGTTTCTATCTCCCTAATGCTAGAACTACAGGCATGTGCCACCACTCAGAGTTTTGTCACACTCCAACCCTCACTTCTTCTTTTAATCAGTATGGGAAGATCTCTAGGAGGCCTGAGCGTGGCAAACACGGCAGTGACAGATCTTGCTCTCCCCCTTGCTAAACCGTTAGATTGCATTCCTAAAACTAGCTACCAACATCTATTCCCTCATTTGGCCACTTCCCCATACCTGACTCATTCCTTAGTTTGATCATCAAGATACAGCTATTAAAACATCAAGGTCCAGCAATCAAAAATCCCCATTTGGCTACCCAGTTAATATACCCAACCAGAATTTACCAACCCATCCTAGCTCATCCTAACACAGACCTCCCCTTTTTCCCTCTTAAAATTAATATTTGCAAACTATTTGCTGCTGTTTTTGCAGGATTCTGATTCAGCCATCATGTCTCTTTGCTTAATTAGTAAAAGCTCTCTTTGTGTTGGCAATTGGTGTTTGGGTGTGCCCTATGTCCACTCCCCGGTCCATAGGGGGCTACTCTTCTGTGGTGCTTGGTGCTCTGATCACTTAAGTAGGTACTGGAAGATGCTTATCCACTTTTTAATAGTTTAGGTTTGTGCTGAGAGCCAACACCTCCATATGGGAAGGGAGAGAAACTCTACCCTAGTGTCTAAGCTGAGTTCACAAAAGCTTGCTTTGCTGAATAAAGGCACAAGATGCAAGGCAGGCACAGGCTTGGAGAGGCAAGCTGACACAGGAGCCCATGGTTCTGAAGCCAGAAAGCCACCAACAGGGTGCTCCCAACGTGGGACTGGCCTGAGAGCCTTTTAGTTACCCAATCAGGCTTCAAACCTAGTAAGCCTTCCTCTATAGGTGGAACCAACCCTTATCATCACTTCAGGGATGTTGGAAGGAACTTACAGCTGTGTCTCCCACACTGCGGGGTTCCATAGATCACATGGAAGTCTTGTTATAAGGCAGATTCCTCAATTTTGTGTTTGGGTCCTGTCTTATGGTTTCTTTTGCTGTGAAGAGACACCATGGCCACAACAACTCTTAAAAGGAAAACATTTCATTGGGGCTGGCTTACAGTTTCAGAGGTTTAGTCCATTATCATCATGGTGGGAAGCATGATGTCCTTGCAAGCAGACATGGTGTTGGAGGAGCTGAGACTTCTGCATCTTGATTCACGGGCAACAGGAAGAGAATGTGACACAATGGCTAGGCTTTAGCTTCTCAGACCTCAAAGCCCACTCTACAGTGATACACTTCCTCCAACAAGGCCACACCTCCTCATAGTGCTACTCTCCTTGGGGTCTGTTTTCTCAAACCATCACAAGCCCCCTACTTGCTCTGGGATCACACTGTGAGTACCAAGCCTCTAGTGCTTGGAACCCTCACTGTGTTACTGAGGTTTTACATCTTGTAGCCCTAAAAAAGCTAGGCTTGGCCTCTGTATGCTTATCAAAGAGACATATAATAGTGAAAAGCAGAGAGTTACTTAGCTTGACTACACTGGGAATAGAACACACAAGAGATAATGCTGAAAAAGAAAGCACGGCTCTCACAATGGGAAAAAAAGTTTGTTCCCGAGCCAGATCTGAAAATCATGGACCAGAAACACAGTCAGTCGACCCTGAATATCATGTTCTAACATGGCCACAGTTTTATGAAGTTTTCATAATAACAAGACAAAAAATCATACATTTTAGACTTTAAAAATATTTTATTTCATTTTATGTGTATGGATGTTTTGCCAGCAGGTATGTCTGTGCACTATAATGCACCAGGTGGCCCTATAGGGTAGAAGAAGGTGTAAGATCCCCTGGAACTGGAATTACAGATGGTTGTTAGCCACCATGTCAGTGCTGGGAATTAAAACCAGGTATCCTGGGTAGGAGAGTTGTTGGTGCTCTTAACCACTGAGCTCAAATTAAGACATTTTAAATACATGGCCAGGTGGTGATTGTGCACACCTTCAATCTCTGCACTGGGGAGGCAGAGGCAGGCAGAGCTCTGTGAGTTCAAAGCCAGCCTGGTCTACAAACTGAGTTCCAGGGCAGCTAGGGCTATTACACTGAGAAACCCTGTCTCAAAAATAAAATACATGAGTGGGAACTGAAGGCAGGTCAAAGGAAGTCCACAGACATCCAAACAAAGAATTAACAGGTACTTATTTGAAGAGCTCTCACCAGTGATGGCAAATAACTGCAGTGGGAGACTCAGCTTCTGCCCTTCAGGATGCTCTGACCACAACCCAAGAGAACTCAAGGCAGCCCCTCCTCTTTCTTATAAGGAGTCACATCACACACTGAAGCCACACTAGGTGTGGCTATTAACTCAAGTCTATTGGCAGAACAAGATGCCACTACAGGGAGCACCAGGTAGGCAGTGACAGAGGAGACAGGGAGTAGCTACCGTAGTGCTCAGACATGATCTGAAGACATTCTTATTGGATTTGTTCTAGTTACTTTCTATTGCTGTGATAAGCACCATGACCAAAATCAACTTGGGAAGAAAAGGATTAAATACATCTTACAGCTTATACTCTAGTAGTTCCCAACCTTCCTGATGCTGTGACCCTTTAAGACAGTTCCTCTAAGATGAGGCTATCTTCCCTCTCACTCTGTCTCTCTCTCTTAAATATAACACTCGAAGTTCTAACTAGAGCAATAAGACAACAAAAGGAGATCAAATTGGAAGAGAAGTCAAATTTCCACCATTTGCAGATGATATGATAGTATACATAAGTGACCCCAAAATTCTACCAGCGAGCTTCTACACCTGATAAACACCTTCAGTAATGTATCAGGATACAAGATTAACTCAAAAAAATAAAATAAAAAGCAATATCCCTCCTATATACAAATGATAAATAGGCTGAGAAAGAAATCAGAGAAATATCACACTTTGTAATAGCCACAAATAACATAAAATATATTGGGGGTAACCCTAACCAAACAAGTGAAAGACCTGTGTGACAAGAACTTTAAGTCTTTGAAGAAAGAAAATGAAGAAGATATCAGAAAATGGAAAGATCTCCCATGTTCTTGGAAAGGTGGGATCAACATAGTAAAAATGCCATCTTAACAAAAGCAATCTAAAGATTCAGTGCACCCCACCCCCCAAATCCTAGCACAATTCTTCACAGACCTTGAAAGAATACTCAACTTCATATGGAAAAGCAAAGCCCAGGATAGCCAAAACAATTCTGTACAATAAAGTATCAACTGAAAGGCATCAGCATCCCTGACTTCAAGCTCTACTATAGAGCTATAGTAATGAAAACTGCTTGGTATTGGCATGAAAACAGACATGTGGATCAATGAAATCAAATTGAAGACCCTGATATCAAGCCACATACCTATGAACACCTGATTTTTTTTTTTTAACAAGCCAAACGACAATGGAAAAAAGAAAGCATCTTCAACAAATGGTGCTGGCATAAATGGATGTAGACATGTAGAAGAATGCAAATAGATCCATATCTATCCTCATGCATAAAACTAAAGTCCAAATGGATCAAAGACCTCAACATAAATTCAGCTACACTGAACCTGATAGAAGAGAGTGGGAAGTAGCCTCAAATGCATGGGCAACAGAAGATACTCAAATGGCCAAAAGACAATTAAGGAATTGCTCAACATCCTTAGCCATCAGGGAAAGGGCAAATCAAGACGACTCTGAGTACCTTCTTATACCTATCAGAATCGCTAAGATCAAAATCATCAATGACAGTTTATGCTGAAGAGGATGTGGAGTAAGGGGAACACTCCCCCATTGCTAGTAGGTGTGCAAACTTGTACAGCCTCCTTTGAAATCAATATGGTGGTTTTTCAGAAAATTGGGAATCAATCTACCTCAAGACCCAGCAATACCACTGTTGGGCTTATACCCAGAGGTTGCACAATCATACCACAAGGACATTTGCTCAACTATGTTAATAGAAGCATTATTTATAATAGCCATAACCTGGAAACAACCTAAATGCTCCTCAACTGAGGAATGGATAAAGAAAATGTGGTATATTTGCACAATGAAGTATTACTCAGTGGTAAAAAACAATGACACTTTGAAATTAGCAAGAAAATGGATGGAACTAGAAAAACCATTTTGAGTGAGGTAACTCAGACCCAGAAAGACACAGTATGTACTCATTCATAAGTGGATATTAAACATAAAGCCAAGGATAATCAGGCTACAATACACAACCCCAGAGAAGCCAGGTAAAAAGGGTGACCCCAAGAGGGACATATAAGAAGGGACCCAGGAAAGGAAATAGTTAAGATCTCCTGGGTAAACTGGTAGGCTGGTAGAAGAGAAGGGGTGGGAGATGAGAACATGAGGGAGCAAGAAGGCTGAGTTGAGGGAGGGACAGAGATGGGAGGGGGACAGAGATCTCTTGATAGAGGGAGTCATTGTGGAGTTAGGGAGAAACTTGGTACTAGAGAAATTCCTAGGAATTCACAAGGATGACTCCACCTAAGAATCCTAGCAATAGTGGAGAGGGAGCCTAAATGGACCTTTTCCTTTAATCAGATTAGTGACTACCCTAATTGTCATCATAGAACCTATATCCAGTAACTGATGGAAGCAGATATAGTGATCCACAGCCAAGCACTGGACTGAGCTCCTGGAGTTCAGTTAAAGAGAGGGAGGAGGGATCATATGAACAAGGAGAGTCAAGATAA